AGTACTTCTGAAAAGAGGTTTCTTTCAAGGAAGTTGAAAAAGCGAACCCCCTCTCTGTAAAGTGCCCTTGGTGACATGATATTTCTTTTAACTTGGCAGTCATTTGAAGGTGATATTGAGGTATGACTTTGCACTTGCCAAATCTGCCAAAGTCCAATACTAAATTCTCTCTAAAACATGTCTCTGTGACAAGGGAATTCTGTGAATCACTTTGCTTTAGCAAGCTCCACAAGAGGTCCAAGATGTCAATGTTAGCCTCCCAAAAGTGCCTCTGACAGGAAGTCACATTGTCACATGTGAAAAAGCACTTCCATGAAGTTAATCCTCTTCCACGATGAGACTTGACAAGCAACTTCTCTAATTACTGACCACCTTGCTGAGCTGAAGTTTATCCTTGCATCACCATCCAGACCATGGTGTGTTATATTTGTTCTTGTTATTACCTTTTGCTGCCTGTCTCAGATTCCTCCCTTAACTCCAGTCATCCACGTCAATGCTCCAGCTTGATGCTTTGCCCTGTGCCTGCATTAACCACCTCAGCTCAGACATTATGATGAGTGAGGAAGAGCAAAATAAGAACAATTATAATTTTCCCTTAGATTACACTCGGCAGATGTCAGGGCCCACATGTGGAGGCAGCTAATTGCTGTCTCCAAATCAACTGCGCCATAATACTACAACCATATGTGAGCTATTCTGTGTGTGGCTGGGGAAGTTTGAGGCGGAGAGGGGTGCGTCATACAAGAAAAGACTGTATGCCGTTACATCAGATACGCCCTTGGTCGTGTGTGTAAAGAAAAAAAAAGCCAGGCTAATGCATGTGTCATGTTGGTGTACTGATGATCGTACTCAACATCAGCTGTTCACACCCACACGAGCAGAAAGAATCATATGGTAGGAAGACACGGAGCGAAGCAACAACACGCTAACTACCTACTCACATGCTACGCATAAGGTCATCATGCTTTTGTGGCATGGTATTCATATTTTAGGCACACTCACACATGCATGCAAACATACACACGAGTGTGCCAACCCCCCAACACTTTGGTGCTCCCAGCAGTTCCACAGTGGATAAGAATAATAAAGATTGAAGGATAGAAAGCATCCATCCACTCCAGCTTTCAATGCTTTCCTTTCCTCTCCACACCCCTCTCTCCCACATCTCTCCAAGTAGCCTCGAGTGAGGCTGCATCTGCACGGAGGCAGACGAGGTCCCTGGGGTGATGGAGGATGGGGAGTGAGGAGAGGGGGGTGCACGGCTGTCACACTGAGCTCCAGTGTCGGCTGATGGCTCGGCGTGAGGCATGCCACTTATCAGATTGGTGGGGAGGGTAGGAGTCAGGGGGGGTGGGGGTAAGGGTAACTGTGTGCGCGGGTGAGGAATCACAGGGGAGAGAGGGTGAGGGTGATGCCAGAGCCCATTAACACATCTTTTGATCAGTACACACACAGGCAAACATGGATTGCACACACACATGCACATTTAAATGAACCTTGAACACACACACACACACACACAAACACACACACACACACACACACACACACACACACACACACACACACACACACACACACACACACACACACACACACACACACACACACACACACACACACACACACACACACACACACACACACACACACACACACACACACACACACCAAAATGGCCAGAGATCCTCAATCCTCCCTCCAGGCAGACGGTATCCCGATGCCGTGACTGCCGCTGTGAAACGCCCCTTCTCCTCATTCCGTCTCTCCTTTTCATCCTCCTTTCCCACTCTCCCTTGGTGCCCCAGTTCACTCCAGTGCACACGCTCCCTCTCCCAATCCGCCCCTCCCCCCCACCTCTCTGGCCCCCATTCCCAGTCCCAACCATGCCTTCCGTTTTTGCAGCCTTCACTCGCTTGTCTCCTCCATGCAACTGTACTGACACCAAGCATTTCCAGCGCTCTTATGAAAAATACATTAACACCCTCATAAAAATGTATTGATGTATCTAAATATGAATGCGAACACACACAAACACACATTCAGAAAATACTACATACACGCCTTAGCAAGTACATGTCCAAACTCAATGCAAAAACGACCACCTATAGAATGAAATTAACTCAATAAAATGTAATGTTTTACTTAGTTTTGACAACTAATCACTGAACTCTATAATAAAAATTGTTTGTGCCTAAACAACAGAGTCACGCACACGTAAACACATCAAGAGATGGAGATGGGGCTTTGATGGAAGAGGTCAGTCAGTCTCAGAGCGGAAAAACAACACCTCATTAGGCATGTTGAAGGGAGTCTGCAGGCCGGGCCGGGACATTGTTGTCTGCTAGCATGCTAACAGAGCCCTGGGCAAAGCTTCCAACGTATAAACAAACCTGATAGGATCAGAAAGTAATGATCACATGTTATCCACTAGAAAGGACATGAATAATCCCATATACATGTAGCCCTGCACGCCCCTATATACCAATGGAGGCAGACATGGACGCAGTGATACATGCTTGAGCATACATCCCTGAAATAACAGTGATGTCAGGATGCCCAGGGCTGGTTCTTTATCCTATGCATGCATGCACATTGCTCTCCATTCATAAGATTATAAGCTATTCATTACTGGATGGTACTGTATACCAGTCTTCATCCTATAGGCAGTACAGTATAATTCCTGAGAGGCAGGGGCTCTGCACTGAAAAGTCTTTGCTTTGAGCTGTAGGCACAGTCAATTTACTTTCCATCACGCACTCACACACTTTCAGTCGTTCTTGCACTCACAGTATTTATCTCACGGCCTCTCGCTCTATCTTCCCTCTCTCTCCTTATATTAGGCCATCCTCCTTTCCCCTGGCTCCGATGTTAATGCACTCCCAATCAGGCTGTCCATTAAGCAGACGTGCACTACACGTTCATCAGGCCGTCCAAAGGCCCGCATGCAAATGAGCTCAAATTGCAGTGCGCTGCAAACTCCTTGAAATCTCCTTAGCGGAAGAACGTGAGTATAAGACATGCATTTGTGAGAAAATGCAGGAGAAATCGAGTGCCTGCCCGTCTATTTTATGCAAATGACAAACCACGGAGACAAGTATTACAAAGGATTAACCCAACCAGGGTGTCTTTTTGATGTTTTCGATGCAATGATGAGACACTCACATGTGAAACTTGCTGATGTAAAATATATCCTTGATTCATAAGCCTGAGAGTGTTGAGTTTCTGCCAGCCAATCCCTTTCCTCATGCACAGGGAAACTTCTCCATTTTGAAACACTGTCAAAACTTTTGGTGGAGTCGCTGAGAGTGCGACACGAAACAGATTTTTCACTAGCTTTCCCTCTCCTCCCTTTTTGACCGCTAGGCATTAGACATCAGTACATTCTGTTCTTTACAAAAAAGTTTGTTATTGTATCCAGTGGGACGCATTTATTCTCACCTCAGTTCCTCGCAAACTGTAACTTTCTAAACCGGTACAGGGATAGAGTGTTTGATGTAAAAACAAGGAGTAGGAGAAAGAAGGAAGCGGAGAGACACTCTTGTTCAGAATGCTGCCTTTTTACATTCAGGTGGCAAATGGCCTGGCGTTAAAGGCATGGAGCGTGGGGGTGTCAGCGAGGCCTGCCGCGTGCCAACTCCTAAGTGGCGGTGGCACTCAAAGATAATGAAGAACGATGATGAGGGCGAGGAGGGCATGCCGAGGGCTCACGTGCACATTTAAAAAAATCACCCAGCAGTCACCTATCAAGCTCCGCACCCAGCCACTCAAAAAGGTTTGCCAACGGCGCTGATTGCATGTCACCGAGTGTCAAACCTGCGGCTCAACTTTCCACTTTCCTTCAGTAATCCAGCCCACTTCTCTGCGTGTTCTCTGTGAACATACGTTACTCATGCCTGGTGTGAAAAAGAAGGTAAGTCATTATGCAGTCACACCACATGATGCGAAAAAATAAGGGTAACAGGAGAGTGAAAATAATGGAAGATAAGCGAGTTCCCTGCATTCCTCAATCGTGACCTCGAAACACACTTGTCGTCTTTATTGTTCATTACCGAGCCGTGTGCCGCGATACGCTAACTAATCCCATTAAACTAATCCACATGAAAACAACTTACGGCACGATAACAGCTCGTACCGCCTCCACTGTTAATTTATGCCACATTCAAATATGCAATGAATTAAAATAATTAATTTGACTCCCCCACTAATTTTCTTGTGGCAGGGATACAGGATGGATACCCGCAGGATGTTTATTTTCATCCATATTCTTGTTGCCCACATTTCCTATTATTGTCCATGTACATGTCCAAGTCACGATCATTTTTTGGTAATAAAGTGTTTGCCAATTAGTTAATTAAAGGCAGTGGAAATATATTTGTTCTCCGATTGGCCTACAAACAACCATTACATTTGCCCTCAGAGTTGCTTGGTTTGAAGCCACCCCTTAACACATGTTGTATGTAAGGTGTCAACATGACGTTGAAGAGCAGGTCACGTATCCCAGGATGGTCTACCTCTAAAATCTTGTTACCGCGTGATGTGACAGCAATAACCAGCCACAGGCAACAATTCCTACCCACGATCGATTTCATTATCTTTAAAAGCTCTTTTATTCCAAGAAACATCACAGCTCCAACAATAGCACCAGTATGGGCCCTGTACATTGCCTGCTGGTTAACAAATACTGAGTTTGTTTGGAAAGAAGAAGCGTCCACATGGGTTAATGAATAAAACATGTTGCCCTTATTAAAAATAATCTGGCTCAAAAGAGCCAGAGGCCCTTGAGGTCGATAATTCCCCCTCCCCTCCATCCGCTCCCTGCATCTCCCAGGGTTCAAGGAGAGAGGTCCCTGATTAGCAGTGGCAACATCCAGAGAATGCATTCAAATTCTGAATGATCCAGCGGTGAGTGTGTTGAGTGGAATTAAATAAAGCAGATAGCGTTTGGCGCTTGGGGCTACACAGGGGAGAGTTTAGTATTTTGAGATGAGCTGTCTTACCTGAACATCTCGCCCAGGCCCTTCAGCACGCCTTTCTTGGCTTTGTTCTTGTCCTTGTCTCTCTCCCTCTCTTTATCCCGTTCAGGTTTCTTCTTTTCCTTGCCTCCAACCTTGTCTTTCTGTCTGTCATCTTTGGAAAGGTTGCCGTTCATCCCTGGTCCCAAATTGAGGTCGCTGCTGGTGGACATCGACTCGCGACCTGATCTGGAGCTTCCCTCCGTGTCCTCGTCCACTGGAGGGAGCAGATAAGGGGAAAGGGAGAGGTGTTAAACGTTGAAATTGAGTGGAGGATAATGCAGCACACTCACAATAACACAAGGATAATAAGAAATAAAATACAAGTCAACAAAGGCAGACAGTTTACACAAAGTGTAACTTCCACTTGACTCCCTGTGGATCACAGAAACCCCATTTGAAAACAGCACATCAGAACCCCACTGTCTTTTTTATATAACAAAGAAATAGTTCTTTCATCAGATAAACCGTTGGAAGAAAAACTGTGTCCCACAAGGTATGGCAGCTTTGAACAAAACACACTGAATTCATGCGCCTCATTAGAGCAGAATATATTTACTTTGTACCCCCTTTGAGAAGAGCGTTCAGTTGAACATATTTTCACCTAGCTGAAAGCCTGAAGTTATTTCAAATGTGTACATTTCACACAGCTCAGAAGAGAACTTTATTTTTTTCCCCCTTATCTGTTGAATTTCCTATAAAAATAATGTGTTGGAAAAATGGAAGCTCTAATGATAGTCATATGCATTTGGTTCTTAATTTACGTCTCAACTAATTTCAACCCAGACATCAAATTGAAAACCAAACTCCTTAGGTGATGCAGGGTTGATTAAACTCAAAGTTTCCATCACATCTAATCAGAACTGATGTGCAAAATGTAATTAATCTGTCAGTAATTATACATTTAAATAATCTTGAAAATGGCTCCCAGGGATCTTAATTGCAAATGTGGTGCACTTCACAGTCGTCATAGCTCCTGCCTACGCTGTGTCTCTGGATATGAGGCATGAGGTAGATGTCCTTCAGATTACAACTTATAGCAGTCTTGCCTTTAAGTTCTGCCTTTAATGGAAGAGCAATGAGTGATTATCATGAGGAAAGAAAAAGGAGGGAAGCATGATGAGTTTGAGTTACACGGAATGAGACGGAGGGTGGAGCGGCTGGATTCACATTTCAAGGGACAGTTTTCTTCTCTTGTGATGTGTGGAGTTAGCCATTTATTTCAGCTGCCATCTTGATATGACTTTAATGGAATCATGTGGCATCGTACAACGGGAATAGAAAGCGAAGCAGTGGTTTAAACCTGCAAAATTATGCAATTCATTGCTGTGAGGCCCCTCTCTTAGTTTTGTCCATTGTCCACACATTTGGAAACAGGTTTGGTTTTAACAATCGACTATCTTCTGCCTGCTTATCATTCACTTAAGAGCAGCGGCAACAAATAGTAGCTGGGAGCTGTATCTGGCTATTTAAATGCCTGAGATTAGCAGGAGTGCTAATGTCGCTAATGATGCCGATAGAAGATAACATACTACCATTGTAATCTAGAATGTCCCAGAGGGAGGTGGCCATGTGTTTTTGTGACTCACGGGGAAGTATTTACATGTACTCATAAAAAGGCCTTATTTTGAGTTATGTGGAAACCCAAATCAAATTAAATATGTAATTTAATCGCACTTTTTTTCCTTTTGCATCTTTTGAATAAAGCGATATTTTCGATCACAACACAAGATGAAATACTTTAATACTGGATATCAAAACGAGAGGCCGTCAAACACAATTTTAGGAATGGAAAATGTCTTAGCTGACACAATGACAGCAGAAGCATTGATGAAAGTGCCAGGAGACAGAGACAGACAACCGCAGGAAACATTTAGTCACTTCTGTGAAACTTTCCAGCTTTAATAATCAAGGACATTTAAGCTGGCCTGTCGGTGAAGGTTATGACAGACATGTAAAAACGCCTGTCTCTTTCCAACACACAAAAGAAAGGATTTTCCTCAGCAGAGCAGATTTTTCTTTTTTCTTTTCTCAAACGATGCAACTCAAAGTAGCACAAGAGAAAGTGCACTTTGCCTTACAGGATATCTTGTGGGGACACATTTTCTTTAGGTGATGCCACATTCTTATTTTATGTAAATAAAAGTCTGGGAGCAGAGAAAAGCAGCGGCTTATCTGTCAACTTTGACTATTAACCTCAGTGACGAGCACGGACTGGCTGCTTTTATCTAAATTGAAAAACAGAGTTATTTGAATATCATGGAGGAGAATGCAATATACCACGGCAGGGGGAATCTGTTGCTTTCCCCATTTTTCTTTGCAGAGATAAGACTGTATTTAGTGGCTTGCCGACAGCTTATGAGAACAAAGCGTTTCAGGAAAATAATTCCCTCTTTTTCAAATGTCCCCCAGCTCTTTTAATGGAATCTTTTAATGGGGAATGCAAATGTATATCTGGTGATTACTCTTGTGGTGTTGCAGGGTTATTACCTGTCTCAAAACGTAAGACGGCTGTCTTTCAATCCCAAACGCGTGTCTTTTTGTCATCAAACACCAAATAGGAATGGATATATTCACTCAAAGGAAAGGTGGCATGCCTTTCTTTTCTAATGCTGTCTTAATAGTTCAGAATAAAGGAATCAGGCAGAGTGAAGAAAGAATGTGAGGGATCCTGGCACTTATACAGTGGATCGTGCCAAAACTTTCTCGCATAAACTAGAATAATTGTAAATGCAATTATGTTATATTAAGATATTATAACCACATATTATACAATAGGAGACTGACTTCTGTGGGTAAAGAGCGTAATATTTCCTAGCATGCACTCTGTTTGAAAACATGGCAATGCACTTTAAGAGTATGTAGGCTCATGGGGAAACATGCTGCCACAGTTTCTGACAATTCCACTCAACATGAATGATTTGAATATTAATGAGTGTGTAACCTACACACCTATTGCAGATGTGCTTTATCACACACACACACACACACACACACACACACACACACACACCCCTCTCACCAGTAAAAGGGGATCCCTAACCTAGTTTCTAGGGGAAAGCAATTTTGAGTTGGCCTATATTACACTGACTGAATGTCTTTATAATGATGTACTGATATCTTCTATTGTACATTATAAAATGGCACATTTCTGAGTGCATTATTCTGGATCGCTACTATAAAAAAAACGAACTTGGAAAAACAAAAGCACTGCATACATTACTTCTATCACTCACATGTCTCCATGCTGTTTTCTTCCTCTGGTGTTGTGGTACCAGGTTTCTCGTATGATTTGTCAATGGCAGCTCTGAAGCTCTCGTTGCAGCCGCGGCCCCGGAGGATCCGTGAGCGGGGCCTGTTGACGTTGATCTCACCGTTCTGCGTCACCTCAGCAACAGCCGTCTGGAGGCTTTCCAGTGAACTTGACTTTTTCAGGCCCAGCGATGGTCCCACATCTTGTTCTTTAGAACCTATGGGAAGAAGGAATAGCTTCACTGAGACCAGCATACTAAAAGCATGTGACTCCCCCACAAAGGCCACCTAAAACCATCATCTCGAAGTTCATTGCGTGTCAATGAATAATTCACAAGTTGCTAGTTTTATATTGAAATGATCTCTAAGAAAGCCAAGATAAAATGTGGTTCTGGCAATTAACATGAAAAACAAATGATACCATTGCCTGGCCAATGAAGTGTGTGAAATGAGAACAGAGTATTATATCTTCCCTGAGACATTTCCCTGTTGAGAAATTATAATTCAACCTTTGTCCTTGTGTCTGCACAGTTACATTACGAGACCGAGACATAATGCATATAAATTGGACGATATCAAAGACACCAATGTACCTTGGCACCAGAGTGATCATAGTGTTTTACTAAACTATTACAAGTTCACAAAAAGTATGAATGGAGTGTAAAAAAGAAAATGATTTCCATAGGTGGTCCTCTGATTGTTCTTTCTTTAGTAAAAGAGAAAGAATGGAGAAAAGAGTCCGCATATAGACAAAGCAAATCTAAGTCCTTTAATTTCCAACACCATTCTCTTGTAATCACTAGAAGATCTTAGCATAAAAAACACATCACAGCTGCAATCCTTCGCTAAGGCCTCAGCAGGTGGATGGTAGATGGCAGGTAATAGCACACCATGAGGGCAGACTATTGCTCAGTTATCTTATCAGCCATATGTTGATTAGACTAGTGGGAGGAGAAAAGCACCAAAGTTCTAGCTTGCACATATGAATGATAATGTAAATATGGTTCATGAGAAATATGTATAACACAAACCAATGGTAGCCACTATCTTTGTACACATGATATAAATTAATGACTATTGTGGCTTGAAATGTGTTCTAATTGGAGAAGCTTAATCTCCTCAAAAAGACCTACATGGTGCTGCTGATGTGAAAGCTGCTAGAGCAGATGTGTAGGAAGGAAAATGAATGTCGAACAGCAAACCTCAAACACTATTGCCCCACCCTGGACAGCTGTAATGATGTTTCCAATGCTTGCCAGGGTTTTGTTTAGGGTATGTAAGCGGAGCACAACTCAGGTATTGGTATTTCATTTTGTTAGGGAGCGTCAGTCAGATCCCCGGAGCTCTTGCCTTACCTGCTGGATGGTAAAAAAGTGGCCTGGTTGATTTTCTGTCCCTTTTATTTTGCCTCGATTTAGCGCAAAGCAATGTGCTGTCAAACGTAACGAGATGGATTTCTGAAAATGTGCAAGTAAAGCCTTGTTAAATGTTAATGTTTTCGGAGGAAACTATTGGTAATAATGGATACACTGTTGATTCAATTACTTCTGCAGCCTCACTGACTCTCTGAGGGCTAAGCATATGTCGATGGAGTCTGAACAGAGCAGCATTGTATCTTTACGACTCCCTGTAGACCATATAGACCCTCCACATGTAGTGAGTGTGTGCTGCAGTTTCCTCTGTGGCTTCACGTGGTGTAAATAAACGTCTCCTACAGCTCTTCATGTTAGTTTTCATAGCAAATACCGCTATAAGGTCTTGTCTCTACCCCCACTGAACAGAACACACACATACACATACACAAACACTAGGTGTATATGTTTGTATGTGTGTGCCCCATAGAGGGACTCCATAATAGACACAATAACAGAAACTCACAGCATGCACATACTTCTATATGAGCTATAATCAACAAGACCCTGGACATGTTTAAAGTGGCCTAAATGAAGCATGACCCACTGCTGCTGGGGGATCACAGTGGATCTTTACATGGAGGGTTGCACAGCCAAACACATAAGGCAAAGAAAACAAACCTCCATCATTGGAAGAAAACTATTTGTGACCGTTGTTTGGAGTACCCCCTCCAAAACACATTTGTTTTAGCGTTTAAAGAAACATGGAGAACTGTGAATACTCAAAGTTTGCAAAAGCAGGGTATGAATGAGCTTAGGAGAGAACAGGGTAAACTAGCAGAGCTGTGCAGAAATGCATACAAGCTCTGCTCCTGTTATCATCATTTTACCAGTGGCAGCTTGTCTCTTTTGTTGTCTCAACCCCTTTGATATTCTCTTCTTGATCCCTTAACCAAGCAAACCTGCAGCAGCTCACTAGTGATTAGCTAGCTATCTGAGTTTCAAGGTTCAAACACACACCATGTACAAAGCCACTTGCAGAGGACACATGCAGGAGAGAGCTGGAGATGTATTTTTCCTATTTCCATCATCTTGACATTTTTTGAGGAAACTAAAAGTTGTCAAGCTACTTTCAAGGACCTCAAGGGCATTCCTCTTTCTGCTGTGTTTGCTACCAATGCACTCATACTGAGAGTGTGAGTGCTTCTCTGTCTTCCATGGCGTCTATAGATATGGTGTCAAAGAAGTCAGATAGGCTAAAAAGGTCATCTAGCCAGTGGTGTTGGGTTTCCAGACTGGTAAACGTTATGTCTTTAACACAATTTTCTCCGCCTTTTTGTCAATGTTAATAAAAGTAGCCAATCCCCAGAGAACCTAAACTCAATCCTGAAAGCACCATTAAAAATAAAAAGGAACACCAATGCTATATGTAGCATCCCTTTTACTGGGAAGAGCTCATCTGTGTGTGTGCCCTCAGGCTGCATTGGACAGTCAAATGAAACTTTACTGTGTGCTACAAATGTCCAGGGGTTAAAAGCAGAAGATTCATTTTACTGCTTTGTTCCTTCATTTCTGATTACTATGGCACATTTCAGTGCCAAGAAAGCATGAACAGTCTTACAAGACCCAGCAAACGCAAGTAAAAATCATGTAATTCATTTTGTTCGAAAGGAGTAATCTCATCATGCGAAGGACAGGAGAGGACAATCTAAAGGAAAGGAAACGAGCACAGGGAAATGCCGTCATTTTTCATACTTTGTGTATGAAACTCAATCAACCCAGTGCAAATGCCATGTAAATGTGGGTTTTCATGAAGCTTATAAGTAAAGCCTGCCAACAGCGGACACGCAGAAGCCAGGGTGCATGTTCGACACAATGGGATTGCAAGTTAGAGCTGCGGAGGATGCAACAGTTCAAGGGAACACAAATGACATCTGCTCTAATCGGAAGCAGGGAATTATCCTCACACTCGGTATTCCGCACCACGATCCACTTGGCCATTGTTTCTAGTTAGTATAGCGAATGACTGAGAGAAGCAGGGGGACAAAGAGAGAGGGGGAGAGTGAGGCAAAGAGAGGGAGTTTGCCCATAGACCCAGGCTGCCTCGAACCTGCCTTTGTTTTCATCAGAAGCAGTCGTGGCTCTCCTGGGAGAGTTTGACGGACAGCTCTCTGTATGCCAGTCTATTATGTGATTCCTATCACACAACAGAAGCCTCGGTGCTCTGCTCCTCATCTTCCTCTTATTCAGAGGGATGAAAATACATATTCCCCCATTGCATACAGACACGGGTTTGTCACTCCCCACACGTCTGGAGGACAAATGAAAATCATCAAAATGAAATACACAAAAAGAAAAACAATCAAACCAAATAGGGGGGAAGTGCACCTGGATTTTGTGACGGCCAAACACAAAAAAAGCCAGCGCGCTGTGTTTCTTTGCCAGATTAAGGGCAAGGACAGTTAATTGGAGAAGATCCATTGCTATTAAATGTTAAAGAGGAGGTATAGCAAACTCCATGAATAAATCAGCAGTGGTTATTACAGGAACAGGAGACCATAGTATAATTAGAGCAACTAAAACTATGCTTCCCAGCCATTATTCACCACGGGCACTTGCATGTAAAGATCTGTGTACAGACAGGGGCTCCATTACACATAATTTATTCAGAGAGCCAGGGCTTTAAGCAGGGCGGTAAAAGGGTAATTATGTTAAAAATAGCCTCCAAGGTGGTCGGGGGAAGGCCGTGTCCAGGTACCCCATTGGAAGTGAGCGGGCTACTATTTCTCCGACAGTTGTGGATCATTAGCCCGACAGAGGACGTCCTCTGTACGCTGGGTCACAGAGGAATCATCATTAGCCCAACTGTTTCATATCTCAATCAAGGATGCTCAATACTGTCCTGCGTTTGTGCATTTAAATCAGTAAATTGTTTGTTGAAAAGAAACATGAAAACTACTTTTGTATTGCTGCATAATTGAAATAACTTATACAGTAAGGTGAGGTGTAATATGTGATTTGCACAAGGCCCTTTAATTAGTGCTCTGAAAAAGAGTCAAAAATATTCCCCTGTGACTCAGTCATTAACTCATTATGTTTTAATTTCATAGAGGGTAAGCACTTTAAAATATTCCAACCACAGCTCAAAACAGCCCGACTATGATGGATCAATTGCAAAGAGACGAAGAGGCCAAATGGCAATGAGTGTCTCGTTATTGCAAATGCCACTCCATCCAACCCTACACAACTCCTGAGTAATGAGTGTTTTTTCTTCACTCGTTTGCACTGCAGAACAAGCACAATGGCTCACACATTAGTTGCCAAGTTCAACACCATGCAACTCCCTCTCAGCATTATGAAAACCCTCTTTTGATCATGCTGCAATTACCTCAAACAACGCTCTCCTCCATATGGGACTAAAGGTGCCAAGATTACACGGCCAATAATGGTTGGTTATGAGCTGGTTATTGAGAAAGTGTGGGGCTGCGTTTCCAATCTCCGGTAATGACCCATGGAAACAGATGAACTATCATAGCATCCATTGTAATAACTGTGACAGTATTGGGTTGATTCAGGCATGGTTGCTTACCTTCATTTGTTCTTGTGCTGCAGTCAAACTCATCTGCTACTGTTAAAGAGCATACACAAGTAAGATTGGTTAGTGCCATCTGTACCATGATGGCGAGAATATACAAAGAAGAAAGAGACAGAATCAGAAAGTGCAGGGTAGAAGCTGAATAGTGATGTAAGAACAGATATTAGACTCCATGGAAGGACCTGTCTATCATAAGGCTTACTAGGCAAAGTGGCTGAAATGTGCTAATGTATTACTGCCAGCCGTGGCACCTCACATCTCTTTCTTCCCTTTTCTACCCTCACTCAATCTTGTTCCACATCTAAATGGGATTGAACAGGGGGGGGGGGTCTGACCAGTTTAGCCTATTCCAACACAATGATGGGCTTCAAAGTCATGAAATCCATCTGCTGATGTGATTTGCAAGCACCTGAAACATGATTAAAATAAGGGGGGGGGAAATCAAGTGACAGAATAAAATGAGAGTCTGTAGGGGAAAGCATTGTCGAGCATGTTAGTCCGTTCAGCTTTGAAAGCACAAAACAGATTTATTTAAGTGTTAATGGAAAGTAAGTATTCTTACACCTGCTCATGCACCTAACTACTTACGACAAACTGCAATGTCCAACAGTGTGCAATTGAAAAGGAATAAGGATATATGCTGGCCTCTTTATTTTCATTACGTTTTCAATTATATTATACATAACCCATAGGCCATTTTTCATTGCGTGTCTTTGATGTAAAAACGTAATTAAAATAATCAACAGCAGTAGGCGCCTTTGAGATATATGGAACATTTGTGACATCAGATACAAATCATTAAATGTAGCTTTCATTTTGAACTCACACTAGAGCTTGTGTTTCATGTATTGACTGAAACATTTCTCCTCCAGGAACTCATGTCAGTTACTAGAGTTATTATATGAGCGGAACAAGTAGGTTATTTCCCTGCAACATTGGAACGCTGTGTTATTCTCTCTAATAGATTATGATTAGATATTGGCAAGGATTTCTGTCAGGAGGATATTCACATACTCAACTGGCACCTGCAGGTAGAGAAGGGGAATGTGAGTAATACTTTGTAAACACTGATCTTGAGAACTAAGACGACATTCAGTAATAGATAAATCATTTTGTAAAAAATCAATAACGTTAGTTATCCCAAGAGTGAGGCATTGTCTTGAGTAAAACACACTGCTGTTTCTTAGAGCTAATCAAATTCACAAATACATGCTGATGCCAACTTGGAACAATTAAGTAGCTTTTTTGATTAAATGAATTGATAAAATATGCATTTGCAATGATGAGAACGCCATCATGGAGCGATCTTCGCATCCTGTCCATTCTGCTCACTTACTGTCCTCAGTTATAGCCAATTATACTTGTACTCGATACTAAGAACATAATGGAAATGATTTTTATGCTGGACTAATTGCTCAGTGAAACCTTTAGGATGGCCTCCTGTTATCTTTCTGCTAAGCAGCACTTTCCACTGAAAGTTTGTGTTGTCTGGGTTCACTTTGTAGAAAAGTTTTGAGGGCGTACAAAGGGTAGTGCTAACACAGTGAAGGTGGATCCCACAGAGCTGAGTGCAGTGGCCTGAACCTGCACTGGTCTGTGGGAGCGTCAAAGATTCCTACAGTTCTCTGGGCTCCCTCCATGTGGAAAAGAGTAGTGTTATCCGTTATGATTATCCAATGATGCGAGAGAAGGCAGCTTCTGCTTCAGTCTCAGTGGGAGAGGCTCTGAACTCACACCATCTTCTTCTTTAGATACAGACTGTGTGTTTGAGGGTGTGCCTGCACATGCAAGCATCTCACCGGCCTCCCCATCATTAGACAGTCACTAAAGCAGTCATTGTGTTCTTGCTTCTTACCTATGCTCCACTGGACACAACATCATAGGGGATGGATGCCAAAGAGGAGAGGTGCTGGCTGGGCAGGAATAAAGGACTGTGTGTGTGTGTGTGTGTGTTGTGTGTGTGTGTGTGTGTGTGTGTGTGTGTGTGTGTGTGTGTGTGTGTGTGTGTGTGTGTCGCGCGCGCGTGTGTGTGTGTGTGTGTGTGTGTGTGTGCGTGGTATTTCTGCTTTGAAAGTGTGTCCAATCTCATAGTAGTGCATCTTGTACTGACCCAGTCCTAAAGGGTAAGATACATTGAGGGCTTGAGGAGTCAAAGGTTACAGTAAGATCTATTTCATCAACACTTTGGGGTGGCCCACAGGAATGGTCAAAGAATCATACCAGCTCTTGTGAAAACACAGTTGAAGTTGTCATTCAGCAGAGGCTAACTTTGTAGTTAACCTCATGTACCTAATTTTTTATATTATTTATCTTTTCAAGCACACACTTTTCCCATTAATTGAGTGATTGCTAGTCACATCTCAGGTGCATTTTAATTTGTTGTAGTGCAACGGCTAAGTACTTAGATCTCAAGATGAAGGCCAAAAACTGAAAGTAACAACGACCTTAAAAGGAAAAGTTCTGTTGGTAAATATGCTTATTGACTTTTTGATGAAAGGTAGATGAGAAGAATGAAACCAATACAACTGCTGTGCCAAATAACTCATTATAGTACAAAGCTAGCCGTGTCCAAAGCTGAGAAAACGGCACATCTAAAGATCACATGTTTTATCTTATCTGTGTAATTTGTAGGCATTAAAATGTACATGTTTGAACAATACTTTGCCAATCTACAGGTCGTTATGTCTCAAACTATTGTTGGGCCAGGACAGCAACTCGCAGTTTGACTGATTAACAGTGAAGTACATAAGTAAGTGTTGATATTAAACTCTTGAACCCATACATGTGTAATTGTGCATGTGTAAAGTAGAACATATCATTTACCTAGATCCATACTCTTGGACTTGCGCGTCTTGACGATCTCCAACTCAGCAGCATTCTCAAACTGTTTGATGCGTTTTTCAGACACACTCTGGCGTCCGAAGCCCTCCCTCAGGAACGATGGGTCAGGGTTTGCGTCAGGACTGAGCGAGCTACAGTTCATGAGGAAGAATAGAATTATGTTATCAAATATTACAAATGCAGGGTCATTCCAAAAGCATACCCTTTAATCTGATGATTAATCCAATTAAAGATATATTTTGTAATCATCTACATCAACTTGCTAGGGGCCATCCTTATAATAAGACCTGGAAATACAATCTACTTATTAATACTCATACAGTGCCAATCCTGAGCCCAAACACACGCTCACTATCACACAATGACCATCGACATTCAATACTCGCACACGCATTAACAGTCAGTTTCAATTCTTCGTTTCAATGACTATTCTAATCAAGGACACGTCCACCTCTGGCTGGGTGGATCAGGACGTGTTACAATTGGGTAAAAAGAAGCCTGGCGTAGATGTGTGATCCCCCATTGAGGTGAGGGTGTTCCGGGGTCATGGCCACTCAATAACCCCCCCTCCCTCAATATGTCTGGAGCAGAGGCAGTGCCCGGCCCACCATCGTGCTCTCCCTTTGAGATCCTCTATCTCTGTCTGGATCTTAATTGAAAATCGGAGGGGAATGGGGAAAGGAGGCTGGGAGAGGGGGACACTGATATTTGCATACAGAAGAGTGCATTTACAATTAAGGTGAGAACATCCTGCCATTTGAGGAGAGAAAGAGGGGAGGAGATTCAGTGCTCATGGAGTCTAATAAATATGATATGGTTGAAAGAACACGGTCACTGTTTCCTTTGTTCTGATGATGATCATAAATGATAACCTTTCAAGGGTGTTTGTATTTAAACCTCTAGAGATCCTTTTTAGAGACTGCATCAGAAATTCCATCAAATGATCTGATCCCTGGTAAATAACAGTGGAAAGCTATTGTCCTGAAATGGGAGTTATAAACTGGAATAGAAAATGTGTTTTTTTGACAATTATTCCTATTGGAGCAGGTGCAACTTAAAGAACCCTTCCACTTTTGTAATATCACTTAACAGCATCTGCAGACCTGCTGGCACTTGTTTGCATGTAAACCATTCTGATTTGCATTGTCAACCCCACTTAACAAAAGAGCTGCTTCATGTGTCACAGAGGGACCGGCGTCAACGTGTCACTTTGCTGTCGACCATACCTGACAATCCCAACTAAGATCAGAGCGCCTCACAGGACCGACTCCAGCTGACACATGAAGAGAGGGAGGTGGAGCAGGAAGAGAGGAATGACAGCACAGATGTATTATTCATGTATTCATCATCCTTCGCTATTCTCCTCTCATGGTTTCCGAGCCCGCCAAAAACAGTCTGCCCTCTCTTTTTCTGTCTCGACAAATGTCATCTGTCGGAGCGTGACTGAGACGGTGCGGGAGAGAAAGGACGTGTTTTCAGCCTGAATTTAGATTTCATTCACTTGTGCCAGTATTGTGTTTTTGGGGCCAATTGAACACTCATACAACATGGACAAAGAAGACAATCGAGAGGGCAGCAGGTGGTATCATGCACAGCCCTGTCATTCAGGTAGAGAGAGTTGGCGAGTATATGACTGTTTGTGAGAGCAATTAGAGACACAGACAGTTGGAATGAATCAGAATCCGGCCTGACAGAGCAACACATGGTGAGAAACCTGTGGGAAGTAACAGGGAATTTCACTCAGTAGGCCTTAAGATGTGTTATTTCAAGCTGCTGCCTGTTTTAACACTGCCTAAATGCCTAAAGCAATGTAGACAATCATGTTGCTTGGCTCATTATTCAAGCCGGAGATACCTGCGGTCTCACGCCTAAGTTGGCAGTACACCACTACACACCATTTTTTTAACTTGAGCCCCAATATAGCCAGGCGGTTCACACCAGCAAACCCTTGTCACATCTCTTCCAATCGAAAACTTTAAAAAAATAAACGCAAAACAGGAAATATGTCTGGTATTAAATTAAGCATGTCAAAGTTGGAATTCATCTTCTATTCTACTTTAAGCTGACAAAGTTTCACAGCTACTACAGTCCATTAATAGAAATACAGCACCCAATTACAGATCTGGTATTCACTTTCTACTGGTTATTCATTTCCCCATAGAAATTCCTGTTGTAATGAGATAGTGTTTGAAAGTCTCTTTGCTTTGATCACGATATGTCTTAAGCTCCAATGTAGTCTTGTGATGGAGGAAAATCCAATGAATATGTTGAGTCTATGAAGGTGAGACCCTTCTTGGACTTGGATGACCAATGAATGCCTTATTTTGGTGGACATTGTATTGGATGGATGGAACAATTAAATTGCGTGTCCATGTGAACTCCCAGAGAAGTTCAATCATTTCCAAAGTGGCACCATTTCTTCTTCAGACCGTCCGTCCCTTCCATGCCTCTGGCCTATCTTTAATAGTGGGTCCAATCCATTTGGATAATACCTTCCCTCATCTCCTCTTCTTTAAGCAGTGTTTAAAAGCAATTTTCACCATTCAGAGCAGATGCTCTCCCCCCGCTCAAAGTCTTCCCATCATCTAAAATTAACTAGCGCTGAGGATTGCTCACAGGCAAATCCACAGCTTTAACTTGCATTTCACATCAACTTGTTTCTGTCTCTGTGTCTCTCGCAGAAAGTTAAATGTGTCAAAGCGAACATCGGCCTTGTAGCTAAGTGGTGTGTGCTAAAAGCCGTCTGTGCTCACACTTTACGCAGGTGAATTATGTTTTTTTTTTCTTTCTCTAAACTGACAAACCTCCTTACCCTTATTTAAAAAACGACCCCAGAGAGGTAAATCGTAAAGAGTCCTTCTTCTTAGAAAGGTGCAGCTTGGTTTGATCGACTAGCTGGGGGTGGTGTGCATAAGTTGCAACTCCTCAGAGAGGGGGCAAGAGGTGCAGAGCCCCGGTAAGGTGCTTCTGAAATGCTTCTTCTGAGGTTTGGAGGAGGCCGATTCAGCTGACCGCATGGATGCATAGCTGGGCCAGAGAGCTTGGAGCTGCCTTCAATCATTGAATACAGCCCTGCATGAGAAGTCAGTGCAGAACTCTGTCCTGCTGGCGTGTGCACCAGCAGACACTAGATAGTTCAAATAATGTATAGAAACAGTTGAACAGAAAGGGCTTCTCTCCATTTGAAACAATTGTCTCAAATATTAATGTACTGTAAAAACTATGGCTCTGATTACCACCTTTATTTTACTCGCTCAATTGCACCTATTAAACATTGGACTTAAACCTGGGAAGGCCCTTAAATATAATGTTCCCAGAGTGGAGCAACTGCGCATATGATTTGCGGTAATATCCTATTCATTATGATGAAGTTGCAGAGAGCTACAGAGAGGGAGAGAAAAAGAAAGAGATCAATTAAGACCTCTTTGTCTGTTGGCTGACTCCTACGTAGACCTCATTCATTCCGTGCCTGGTATATCATGGGAGCTTTACATTTAAGAAAAAATAAATAAAGGCACGTATCACATGCTTGTAGCAATGGCGCACCATTGAAACATGGTTAATATTCATTAAGGTAGAGGAAAGTATTTGCATTTAAGAAAATAACAATGCCTGGAATTCATATGTATGCGTGTGTGTGTGTGTGTGTGTGTGTGTGTGTGTGTGTGTGTGTGTGTGTGTGTGTGTGTGTTTTGCCCAGAGTCACTTCCAACTTAAATGGACATCTGAGATTACTAAAATAGCGTGTGTACGCACTACAGGGCTGTTTGCATTTATATGTACCGGTAGTTATGCTAATAGCTTGATGGGAAAAACACATGTGCCTAATAGAGCACTTGTGATTCTTAGTTACATTACTGATGATAGAGACTATTATGGAGTCAACTGAAGTAGGCAGTCTGCCTGTAATGTTCGTTTGGAAGTTTGTTTGTTCATGTCTATGCGGACCTTTTCCACTTTATATGTTAATTTTGGAAATTGTTTACCAGCCAATGTGTATCTAAACACTCGTGAGACCGAGGGCGTCCGTGCTGCAATGTGTGTGTATGTTTGTCAGGAGTCCTTTTCCATCTCTGCTGGTTGACAGACTGTGTCAGAGCTGCCTAGGAAATTATGTTTCCACCTGTGACACAGTCTCTCTTTTTTCATCCCTTTCCCTCTCGCTGTCCATTTCTCTTCCCTCTCAACTTAATCAGAATTGACATCTCTCTTCCACTTTGTCAACTACATCCAGTTTGATGTTTAAGACAAGGGGACAGTAGTAGTCTAGTTATACAAAGGTTGTAACAGTGCCCCTGGTGGTATTGACAGATATAAAGAATGAAACTTAAGGGTTTTACATAATGCATTATAGCCATACTATCAAATCAATCAACATATGATTAAAAAAGAATAGCACTGTATTACTCATTATGAGGGGGCTGATTTGAACTGAACATGCATTATGTGTTCCTGCAGGTAATACCACTTATCTTAGGTGGTATGCAGAGCAGTGCTGATAACAGTAGTTGGTATGGTAGTTACAGTATGTTTGCCACATACTTGCTCAATGTGAGGCATATGACTTCATAAACTTCAGACTAATGAGTATGCTTTTTACACACTTTAGAGCCAAATCAGAATACTGCACTCCTGCTCTTGCATATGTTGGAATAATCTTTGTTCACTAGTTAAGAAGATGCAAGTATTTTACTGTGGTTTTAAGACAAGGTGCTGAAAACAGCTCGGCCTTTGAGACTCACATTGTTAGAGGCTGACAAATTATTTCTTCATTCCTACTGATAATAACAAAATACCATTTACAAAATCAAAGTTCAAACATTGTTCACTTTTAATTATGTTGAAAAACTGCAAACTTCTGTTCACACTCTAATGTTGCATTTTACTGGATTAGGTATTGTATTGTGTTATCACAAAGGCCACAACTGGTAGGCTTATTCTTTTTTTCAATGGTAAAAGTTGGACGTGAATTTTTAAACGACACCTCAGGGACGATTATACAAACCAAAGAGGGAGTATTTTAATCAAAGAAAAATGTCCCACTTATCTCATTGCAATGAAATGCTTTACTCTCTACAGACCTGAACAAGTAGGATGATGCAGCCAGCACCAAAACTGATTGAGCAACACCTTACCACCAACATCTTTAAATGACATGATCTGCAATTTTTTTTAAACCATAATTTCTGAGATCTGGATTTTTTTATCAACAACAAGCTTATTATTTGAAGCTAACTTTTCCAAATGGGAAGGACTAGGACCCAGTACAATGGAACAGACAAACCCTGTAACTGCCATCCATCAACATCTGGTATGAAAACCAGGTGGAAACTATAAACACGTCTTTGCATTTCGGATGAATCTGCTTGAATTAGGAGCTGCCACCATTATACACTAAATTGTGGTTCTGACACTGCTCTACATTCCATTCCTGAGAGAAAAACCTTTTATCTTCTAATTTATCCAGATAATGCTGCAAAGTCCCGCTATCATCCAGTGAGTGTTATCTGTTTTACTGTAAATCATTTAGACATGGTTCTTCCTGTTTGGCTTTGGATTCAAACTAATGAAGGAGGAGGCAGACACTACGAAGGGAATTAATGAGACAGGTCAGGACCCAATGCTCAATTGAACTTTGAGCAGATATGCAAAGTAATAACTTACAACCTTTATTTATACAGTGAAACCTGACAGAAAACACATGCTGGTTTCCACCAATTCCCTGGGTCACAACACACACACCTCAGCCAAATACATACATCTGGCTGAAAAGTAGCCAAATCATTGCAATGGATTTATTCTTAAAAGTATCTCAATAGAAGGTGTACATTTTACTATACTACCTCTAACAGTTTGAACCAGCAACTTCTATCCACAATCTTAATACTACCACCACCTCACTGATAAAACTGAGAAGGAGTATTAATAGCACAACTAATAAAACAGTCTGTAATAGAGCAGCAACCAATAAAAACGTGGATATGTGTACATTAGCATTTTAACAGAGATCTGAAAGCATGGAGCTGTAATATTTATAGCCCTATGCCTTAGCCTTAGTTTTATGATCATTTGAGGCCCGTAAAGAGGTGCTAGAATGACAGTTCATAACAACATGGCAGGTATACAGACAAGTACATGCATTCAAACAGTACAACTTGAGCTAACTAGAACAATATACACACAAACATGCAGCATAAACTCATTAGGTGTTGGCTAGGGATGTCAAGAAAAAGAAGTAGGTCAATTATTGTGTCTTGTATGAGATGGGATTCTGCCTCCAAACAACCATTTATCTAAGGGGCCTACACATTAACCCACTAACACATGAGCGATTATTCGCTGGAAACCTGCTGAGGAGAGGACTGAGCAGAAAGGAAATATTGCAGAGGGAGAGATAAGTACGTACATTTACAAATTAAACTAAAGAGAGGTGAGTCGATTATAAAAGAACAGGGTTGTTTTAATTGATTTTTGTTTACATTAGTCACTCTTTACTTTATAATAACCACTAGCTTACCAGATGCTGAAAGGGCATTTTGATTACTGCTACATTAACAGAGTAAGGATTAAATTAATTTTTTACAAGCCTGTCTATTCCATGTTTGAACAAAGTCACATACTGAACAGTGCTTCTGTAGACGAGAAAAAAGACATTAATAAAGGGAAACAAGAGTAGAAAGAGAGCCTGGAAATCTGAGTTTGTTCAATTCCACCGGGTGAGAAAAAGACAGAAATACAGAGAGTCCGAATTACAATGATTTTACAAGCCAACCAGCCACTTGTGTTTTGTGTATGCACTGTAGGTGTATAGCTGGGGCCATGAGGGAGGAAAGCTGCATAATACTGGAGGCCAGAGGTGAGACTTTCACAGCTCCCCACAATACATATTCAATACGTTCTGGGCCCTGGCTGCACTGTTGCGAGAGCTTAATTAAAAAAGTAACAGTTCCAATACAGTGGAGTCTGGCTGACCCACATCCCCTGCTGGCTCAGTATGCCTGTTAACACTGCATGTGTATGTGTGTGTGCATCTGTCTGTGTGTGTGTGTGTGTGGGATGTTGGGAGCGCTTGAAAAGGAAAATGAAAAACAGTAAAAGTCTATCAGAAAAACGATACACACTTCACTTGCTACGTTTAAGCAGCTGTTAGCATCTAAATGGAAGAGATTGTGTGTTCATGTGTGTCTGTCTGGGTTTGTGTCTGTGTGGGTTTGTGTTTGTGTGTGTGTGTGTGTGTGTGTGTGTGTGTGTGTGTGTGTGTGAGTGTGTGGGAGAGAGAGAGAGTGTGTGTGTGTGTGTGTGTGTGTGTGTGTGTGTGTGTGTGTGTGTGTGTGTGTGTGTGTGTGTGTGAGTGTGTGTGAGAGTGACTCTAAGGACATGAATTATTCACAATAACCCGAGGCAGTAGTATATAGCACACTTCTGCCTAGCGTGTACACATCACATGTTCGTATGTAAGTCAGTGTATTTGTGGAAATCTTATGCGTGTGTGGGGGAATGGTGTGGGAGAGAAGTTTGAGTGTGGTTCAGCCATATGCTGTGGACCTAATCCACTATGACAAACCTCTGACATCACATGAACAACAGGCATGCTGAGCACATCTACCCATTCATTATTAATGAGAGTGAGAGAGAGAGAGAGTAGAGAGTATCTGGGGAAAATAAATACAAATAATAAAAAATAATAATAAACTGAGTGACTATTCAAGGCAACCAGCATTTCATCTTGAAAAAGCAGTCCTTTTCAAATAGAAATATGACTCACCATAACAACTGAAAAGGTAGGAGTTTAAAACAAACTGTTAAGAGAAAAAGCGGTCTCTGACTTAAAATGAAATAAAACAAGTATGAGGACATGATTTGAAATAATGTCTTGTTTTTATATTTCCTTTACCTCTCCAATAAGGTCATACAGGAAATGCCATGAGTCATTTTTTACATGAGTGATTCGTTTAAGGATGGACAGCTACAACTTCCTGTGCCTAAAATCAGCCTTTAAGTAATAACAATAAAAGAAAGACAAGCACTGAGCGGTGCTGCAGCGCTGAAATCACTGTTTGTCCCTAAAGAAACATAGTTATCTGACAAGGTTGATAAGACATTGCCTCATATTTTATTTTAGACAGGGGGCTGAAATCCCAAGGCAGGTAGGAGTTGGGGAGGTGGAGGCACTGAATGATTGTTTACCCAGTCTGATTGCTGCTGGGTCATTTCATATTTAATTTACACACAAACTCCAAAAGAGCCGCACATGTAGGTTCCCATGAGTAGCACACATACACTAACACCTTACAAATGTCCATATTCATCAAAAATGTGCAAAGAATCTTAGATGGGAAATGCATCCGTGAAAAACTGTCATTACTTTCTCATAACTTAGGATATGATGTTCAGGCAAATAGTCTGGTTTGCGCCACTAAGGATAGTCATCAATATATGGAATAACTGTAGGCAATGACTTCAATAAAAAAGTAAGCATTTATAAAGATTCCTGTAAAATAACATTTTCCACCAATCTATGGAGAATATTAAATAGATTCTCTGGTTTTCTGGATCCTTTCCGGTAATACAAAAAAATGAATGACCAGCAAAACAACACAAACACACACACACACTTATGTATGAGTAATACTTATGATACTGCACAATCAATACGCTAACTGAAATGTTATGCACATCGTCACATCCAGCTTTCTTCCACACCATCAAGTTATAAATAATTCAGCCAACTCTACGGCAATGTAAGTAAAACACGCTGCTCACCATTCATCCTGACCGGGCAGCTCGTGGAGCCAGGTCACCGGGTTCTCTCCCACAAAGCCCATGTCATCGTGGGAACTGGAGGATGATTGGTCGGAAAGATGGGCAGGAAGCAGGGGCGGCCTATCGTCTTCGATCATCACTATGTCGTCCTGCGGCATGTTCACTGTCGGAGACATCTGGTGGTTACCTGAGAGAGAGGGATATCGATTCGTTTCTTCACACTTATTTAACACAACACTGCATCAATACTCAATATTTTTTGGAATGAACAGTGTCTGATAACAAGTTGACAAGTTAGACTGTAAGTAATTCACACACACACTCCTCCATAGCCGTGTTTGTGTAACGCAACAATTATTTTCAGTAATTACCAAGATATACAGTACACACACACAGAGATAACTTTGGCCAAGAAAATTGTATTATGGAGCTTTCATATCAGGACATGCCTGAAAGAAAACCTTTCTGAAAAAAACTAAATAATGGTGCTTATATGCTTCCATTTAGAAATGTTGCATACATACACACATAATGTGTGACAAGACAATATCAGAAAAATTGTAACACTTGTGAAAAATATACAAAAATAGACTACAAAGCAGTTAAAGAAAGGTAGTATATTAAGTATATATTGATATGTATATTATGCAAGAGTCTTGTCTCTTAATGTCACAGACACAAGTTGTAGCCCTGAGGAGTTTTATCCATTCTCTTTCACTCTTCTCCAAGGACAAATATGAGAAGGAGTAGAGCTCCCCTGATCTGTATTCTGGACTTCCGCACCCTTCCTGCTGAGGACTTCTTTGAATCGCTACTTTGCTGCTCCTCAGCAGACAAAGTCAATGGGGAATGTTCTGTCGTGGTTAGCACTCCGCACCAAGGGCAGGCGAAGGGTTGTTCAGCGGCATGGGAAGTGGCATTGCAATACAGAGGAGGACGAGTCACTCTGCAGATTGATCTGTGCATGACTTACATATGAAAGCAGAGAAAGACAAGTGACTTTAACCACACACCTGCTAGCTATTAGATATTGGTTTACAGAAATGCTGGACTTCCTTTGGCCCTTTGCTTTTGTTTCCATTATCGGAGAGCCATTTTGCAAATGTAATAGCTTAGGAACAATTGTGTGTAATTACTAACAGCAGACAACAACATTTACCCTGGCAGCGTACCAACATGAATCTGAGAAGCATTTCATTTCAATGGGGCCCGACGAATGATAAACGCATATTGTGGAAGGAAATCTGAGCACCAAACGTTGCAATGAGGTGAATAGCGTAGTCCAGTTATTTGCAGAGAGAAAAAAAAAATATAAGAAAAACAAGATAAAAAGCAGAACAGCTGTGCAGGAGAAGGAAACCAAGTTGGACAAATAGCGTACCTCCCCCACTTAAAAAAGCACAGGAACTATAAAATGTGTATAATCTGGGTTATTCTTCATAATGTGTCAGGAGTCTTATTATTCGCATGTATTATACCTTATGTGAATATGTTCCAACTAAAGGCTTCAGATACAGATCTGCAGGAGCCTACAATATATTTTCTATATCTTACTATTCTATTACTCCCTTGAAACAACATACAGGATAGGGAAAGTTGCTTTATACCAAAACTTTCAAAAAGTCTGCTTCTATCCACTACTTATCCATCTGTTCATTGATTCTTTAGGAAGGCTCATCCCTTTTGTCTATTGACTGCTCATCTAAACCAGTTAATATGTCTGCCAACACAGTACAGGTGGAATGAAGGCCATTTCTCACTCGGGCAGCTTGACAGAGGACCCTGGGTAATTGAATTCACCCTGTACTGTAAATTATCAGGACTGGACCATTGACAGTGATAAGCTTCAGGAAGTCGGCTAGACTAAGCTTAGCTATCACTTGCAAAGCAGGCAAACCCGGTAGAGAAATCTTGAGGGAAAGAAAGCATTTCCTGTTGCAGCCTTTGATCGTTACTATGTATTTACAAATAATGTGTTCATGGTTTGAAGGGTCTAACTATATTCTAGCTATTTTCTCTTAATAACATAATGTTGTGTGGCTTATCCTTGATACAATAGCTCTGGTAAATCATCGGATTTCTCGCACAACTCAACTAAGCCAGTTCTCAAACACTCTTCCAAAGTCATCTTCTGTTTCTGTGTTACAGTCCTTTTAGCAAAAGTGCAGCAATGTCAAGAGGAAAATGCCCTGTGGCTGTGTGTTTCCTAAACCAATCTTTTACTCTCCCTTGGCTTTTGAGTAGAATTACTTCTTGGTTGCATCAGCAAACACTGAGAATTGCACTTCAGTAGCCACCTGGTGCAGAAGAATCATAGTCGGGAAGAGGTTGTTTTTTCAAAAGAAGCACTATAAAAGCGTTGGTGTGCGTTTCACATACACAACACATGAACATTTCTTAGCATTCCCAATGTGCACTCTAATCACCTTACATTCACTCATGTCAGCAGAGCACTTTGCTAACAGAGGACACAGTTTTAATTAGAAACTCGGCAGGCTCCCCTCTCCTGGCTTAATGAAATATTTCCAGTCAGGACCTCTTGACTCTGCAGATGAAGAGTTGTTAAAGTCATTCCACTTCTCCCTGGTGGACAGGTAAAGTTGGGGCCACGCTGTTGACTGAACATAATTACAGCACTTGCTTTTCTGCAGGTGTCAGCACAATAAGCACAGAGGGAAATCACTCACTAAAAAAATGTCAATGCAGTGCGCAACACTATTTGATAAGACAAATAAAACTAGTTTTGTTATGTGCTTAGTGGCTGTTTGGTGACTGACAGATAATAGCCAAATGACATGAATGGAGAAATGAGGTGCATGCCCTCTTACTGTTTTACAACTAGTGTTTGACTTAGAAGTAGGTGATGACTTGTTTATTATAAGAAGGTGATTGTGAAAGCGAACAAGTGCTGATGTATTAGTGAGTGGATTCATTCTCAAGGTCTTGTTTTTGTTTTTAATGTTATTTTGTGTCTGCTGATTACTTTTTGCTTACGGAATGTCATCTGAGCTTATTTTGGATTCACATTAACTTTTTCTTTCCCCTGCCTAATTGAAAAATAACCACAGGCATCGAAACCTTTGAGTACTGTGAATGTAATTATTGTTTTACCCAAATCACAGAACCGCTATCTTGGCCACAATCAACACGCTGTTTTACGGTCTGAATGAAAGCACAAAGAAAGAAAAAACAAACACTGATATTACGATGCCATCACAAATTGAGCAGCAGTCACAGACATATCTTAGAGACTTTTACATGGAGTCCAATGAGGATGAATATCATTGGAAAAAAATGGTTCACAGAAGCCAGCTCTTTCACAAAGGCTTGTTTGGCATTTGTTAAAGAGCTTCTTAATAATGCTAACCACCCATGCAGCTAGGGAAAGAGTTCTCTGGCAACATGATTGTACCACTGTGGTCTTTGTCACACTGTAATTAAATATAGCTTTTCACGAGTCACGCTTACAGAAGCTGACATACACTACCCGACAGCTAAGAAACAACTCTTACATTCACCATCTATTCTGCTAAAAACAAACGCACAATGCTGGGAGGGGCTTTCTATGAGGCAGTCATATTTAATAAGGTTAAACAGGGTCAAAGTGTGATGACTGTGGCTGTTTATTTTAATGTAATTTGTTAGGCAGACATTTTGACTTGTCAGAGTTGCAAAAGGACTTATAACACTAACATGGCTTTGTTCTTTCATGTGTTCCAGTGAGAGTGACGGTTAGCCAATACTCACGATACTGGGAACCACACATTTAGGCAGCTAAAATGAATTTAGACACGATTCATTTAAATAAGTACACTTGTGCTTTTCATACAGTGTCAAAATGTATTTTATGAACAGGCTCATCGGGTCATGGAAAAAAATATTTAATTTGGTTTCAGTTTTGGTTGGTTTCAGAAGCACACACAGCCCTCTGGCCAGCAATGCTCAGCGTGTGGAAGCTATTTCATGATATGGAAGCAGAGATGTTCTCCGTCCCTCTGGCAGAGAGGGGAGACAGAGACAGATGAGCTCTTTGGCTGAAAAGGCCACCTGGCTGCATCCATCCGAACGGATCAGAGCCTCACTCTCCTCTCTCTCTGCCCTCTGACCAAGCGTTGCCCGTTGAAACATTGAGCTGTAAGGTGAGAGGTCGCACTAATAGCCCCACTCCATCTTCTTTTCTCTATGCAATTCCCTCCATTTCTGTCCATCACACACTGTGACGCTTCTTTTTCTCTCTCAAGCACCCTCCTTCAGTGACTCTATGGCCTATTGATCTGACTGGAGGAGAGATCATTAGTTGATCATCGCTGCCACTGCTATCAGGCCCATACATGTATTGCAGCAGCTCTTTATACTAGCACCCGATTCTTATGTTCACCAGGGGACATTCGGGGCATTTTCATGAACTTTCATACTAAAGTTTGGTTCAATTGGGCCAGCTTTAACACCAGCCTTGAAATAACTAAATGGGCAACACACCAATAGTTTTAAAACCAACTAAAACAGTTCTAAATGTCCAATGAGTAAATGCAATTGATCAGAAAATGAGGACATATTCTACTGGTATATATGTGATCATTTGTAAAGCTTCAAATAATACCACTTGTTTGGCATGTTGAGGGGTTCAAACCTTTTTAAAGGTCAACCTACAGTGTCAACAGTATATAAGGAAGATTTGCCCTCCTCTCCTAGTGTGTTAGTTGTTAGAAACTTGCCATTAAACCAAAAGATACTTAAACATGTAATTATACAAATGGAATCTATTGTACAGTTTGTCCCTAAAGCAAAAAGGAAGTCTGGATCATTTGAAACCAAATACCTGGTGCATTGTACTCTGATCATGTGTGTGTGTGTTTCTTTCAAGCACAAACATGAATCTTTCTTATCACAACATTAGATAATTATATTTTTAAATGTAGCCATGCTGAGCTGCACACCCACTCGGCTGTTTTTACTCTGCTTAATTACACTCCTGCTCATGTAGAGGTTGGGAGGAGCCATGCTGAAAAACATGTGAGGTCACCAAACTTCATGGAACAAGCAGAATGATGAAGGAGAAAGTTCTCTTAGCATAGCAGGTGCAAAAAAAAATCATGTGAAACCAATCAAGAAAATTCTGTGCACACCCACACAGTGCAGGGAAGAGGGCTAATTAGACAAGTGATAACCCCTGTGTAGGTGGATCCATAAATAGTTGTCATGTTCAGAACTATACTTCAAAAATTGTGCTATTATAATATAGTGTTATCATTTAGACTTGAATGGTTATACAATTTGTATCATTTGTATTAGTTCTCTGTGTCCCTTCCGGCATTAACTTTTTTTTGATGAAAAGCCGATTATATAAAATGAATTGTTGCTTCAGTTTCAAACTCCTGTTATTGTGCTTTGACCGACCGTGACACTCAATTATAAAAGTGTTATTACTAATGTTATGAGTCACAATTATGCACGTCATTTTATTTGGGACATTATGTTCAAATTGCTGCCTTAAGAAAGAGTATAGGTGCTTTAAAAGAGTTTTGACATAATATTTTACAAAAGTGTGTGGCAAATACACTTTTTTCTTGTTCAAACCACATCAGTGTCGGTGTCATTTTCTCCCCGGGGCACGCTTGCAGCAAGCAGTCTGGACACCAAATGAAGGGAGGCCACTCTGCCTCTAGTCCTGCACTGATGGCTGATCATACAGAGAGGAAGAGTCTGCAGTCGGTGAAATACTGGAGTTTAGGGGACAGCAGGGTCAAGTCCTGGGAAGACGGTCCCACTTAAACACCATTAGGGAAGACTCTGTGTCTGCCTGAGGACAGCCAGAGGTCAGTGTGTTCTTCTAATTGTGTGTGTGCTGTGCCCTTTTAATAACTACATATCGTCATAATAATTGAACCAAGTGACTAAAATGACGGAACTTTGCAGCCACAAACTTCTGTCAGTGATTCATTTTGGATTTGGGTCAATGTCTACAGGAATTTGCACACTGACTACCTACTTTCCTGTGTGAGAACAACATGTGTCTGCCTGCATGGTTTTGCCACCTCCGGCCTCCCTATCCATCCTCCCTCACTCACTCCAGTGCCAGTCCAAGGTATGCTTTCTAACTTATGCATCCGGCCATGTTCACAGAAAGCCTCAGTCCAAGGCCCTCAATTTTCACCCCAGCGTGTGAACCCCGCTCCCAGCTGCACTTTTCAATTAAACAGAACGGAAGGCGAAGCCGAGTGTGATGCTAACGACCTTTGCGTCAAACCTCAGATGTCGCTGTCAAACTGTGCAGATGCAGGCGATTTCACTCCACATTTATTTCCCCTTTAATTCACCTTTTCTTTCTTTCTGTTTTTCCTCCTTTGAGAGAGAAATAATCTCTGCTGATTCACTGCTTTCACCCCAAGGGCAAAAGGTGGGTGGGAGTAGAATGAAGGCAGCACAAGAAAAGAAAAGTGTCAGGAACTCATTTTATTTGAGCGGGGAGTCAAGCAGAACGTACTGTATGTTCACCACCTGCTAGCTGTGGATTCAGCCTGTGGCCATGATGCTGTGATGCATGGTGTGTGCATGTGTGAAGCCGAAGCTGACAATATCACAGCATCGCATGGTCTACTGAGGCAAACAGGGAATAGGATTACCTCTGACTATTGATCAGCTGAATGTGTGTGCCCACGGACAAACACAAACGCACCGACACACAAACAACTTCTGAATTACAGCCTAAACACTACAGGGAAGATCAAGGCAAAGTGCCCTTACAATCAATGTAATGGTGCCATACCAGCTTAATAGCACCTCTCTCCTTCCTGTGCCATTTGGTGCTTTTCTTTGCTGTAACCATGGTAATCATAGTTCCTATAAGTCTTTGAATTGTACCTTACCCTCCATGGAGACCAATATGTATTCTTTCAGTTTTAGAAGGAAGGCAGCAAGCTACCTGTGACCGCTGGGAGTAAAACAAGCTGGTCCAGATTCTGATCAATACCTGGCTGAGTTGAGATAAGGCAGTAATAGAACTCTCCAGATGCTTTTAACAGAAAATAGAGAATGTAGCAATAACAATATTAGTTTGGCTGAACTATGTAGTTTACAATTCTGCTGTATTGACTTGCTTTCATCTGCTACAACTCACAATCAGAGTCAGATTTTATTCTTAAGCAGTAAAAACCTTCCATCCTAGTTACCCTCTGAGGCTTTGTCAATTTAAAGCAGTACAGGCAGAATAATGGATCAATCGAGAGGAAGTGATTTAGTTAGAGAGTCCGACTCTGCGCTGTCTTTGGAGATGTAAAATTAGTTTTGTCAGTAATCACTATTTGCTCTTAAGGAAAAATGTATGGCTTGCATTAGTGGAAACAGGCTCGAACCTTATGGAGAAGTTGTACTTGAGAGTGCCAAGTATGTGTGTCGAGCTATATCTATATCCTCCCGTATCCCAAACCTCGCGTCTTGCTTACGACTCGGTAATTCAGCAGGTCTAGATACACTCGGCATCCAGCTGTCAGTCAAGCCCTAGTGGCTGTGTGCTTCGTGACCTTGCCAAGCTGATCCTAGCATCTGTCCTCTAACCATTACTGTCACATCTCACACACCAGGCAATATGTCTGACCACGTCTGAAATAACATATAGAAGAAGATAGAGAGTGGAAACAGCTACTGTCTATCAAGCCTGCAGAAAAGTAGTATCCACACATACAAATACATTGGAGCTTATACTGAGTGAGGAGACGGCGAGATTATAATGTTACAATGTCTCCAAGCCTGATTATCTATAACCTTATTTCAAACCGAAGTGGGTAAGTGTACAAGAGAGGGAACGAATAAAAATCCACTTTTAATGAATATGAATGAGTAAGATATGCCAGGAATACTGACACGTTTAACTTTCAAAGTAAATTGTGTGACATTTGATTAAGGTTAACTAAATCTCAGCTCTCTTTTGTCAATGAGATGCAAGGTCATTGCCACTCGCTTTTCTGCCAGAAGAATGGCAAAAAAAGATCAGATACTCAGCAAAAGGCAAGAAGTGGCCAAACCCTAGGAAGCAGCATATAACTGAATCTCTTCCTCAGGTGCTGCATTGTACCTGAGTGCGGTGGTGTTGCTCTGATGAATATAAACTCAACTCCGACTGTATCATACATTTAAATAACGGAATTGTGTCAAGACCTGTCACAGAATGTAGGCTCAGGTTAATGAAGGCACGACTCAGAGACAGCCTCTAGACAAAAAAAGGAAAGGAACTGACATTTTGTTGCCTCAAGACAAGTCAAGTCAAAGATCTGAGACTCCGCTGAGCTTCGGCTGTGATAACTTACTCCTTCAGCACCCACTCCGCCCCAACCCACAAAACTTTTCCACTTGGCTCATTTGACTCCAACTCGGCAGGATGACATGAGTGTTGGGCGCCCTTGAAGTTTCAATGGCAAGAAACTTTTCCATCAGCGCGCCCACATTTCCCGCTTATGATCACAGCGGCGTTTGGAAAAGCCTGCGTCGGAAAAGCCATTGGAATAAATAAGCCAAACTGAGGGGGAAACATTTGATATGAGACATGATGAAAGGGTGAAGAAAAAGAAGGGGAGAGACAGACACGGAGGGGGAGAGAGTGTCAGGGGCAAGCCCTATTGATCTTGAGGCTTAATTAACCATCAGATGCCTCTGACACAGCCTCTGATCTCCTACGATCAGTGGCAGAGTGGCACCGCTCTGGGGGACATGGTGGGGAAAAGGGAGAATGGATGGAAGAAGGGCAGAAAGTGTAGATCGTTGACAGATTACAAATCCACTCCATCTGAGAAGAGGAAGGTGGAAAGGTGGGAGGTGAAAGAGGAGAGAGAGTGAGGGACTAGGAGACCATGAGACTGTGGAGAGAATAAAACGTTCAGAGAAAGAAACATATGGGAAATTAGGGGAAGGAGAGAAGGAGTGCACAAAGTCTACTGAGTGTTTCATGAAAATGGGATTTGTTTGACTACACTGCATCACCCTCCACAAACACACCCGCCCCCAACACTGATGCAATCATCCAGCCTCTGAGCGTATGCATATGTGAAGGGTCTGTCGATGCTGGGATGACAGCAGTGACTGACCGAGGATTGAATTGCCAATTCTAATACACCTGAAGAGAGGAGATCTTGGCGCGCTGATGTCAACTTGGTGAAATGGAAATTGACCCGAGTGCGGGAGCGGAGTGAAGGCAGGGAGGATTGGGGTTGACGTTAATCCCTGATAGTGAAATAGCGTACCTCGAGATGCAGAGCAGTGAGGGGGGATGAGGGTTTGAAGGTGATGCTGGTTGGGGGTTTAGGGGAAGGAGATGGGAGAAGCACATAAGGGCTGGGGTTGGATGTTAAAATTGATCAGGAGATGTCAGTTTACAGACAGCCCCAATCCAGGGGAAATATATCCAATGAGCATGAGGTTAACAGGTCAAGTACACTCCCAATCAATGTGAATGGGGAGAGATTGGTCCAAAATGGGTAGAGTCGTTCTGTTTATTAGAGGTTGAAAGAGACAAAAGGGTGTTGAAAGGGAGGGTGACACAACGTAGAGCACTCACCAATGCGTCCGATTGTATTAGCCAGCGGTTTGGTGTGGTTTTCCAAGCTGTCAATGCTTTCATACAGGGAGTTTGAAATCCGGCGCTCATGGTTGTCCAGTAGAGGGTTCACAGGATTCATTAAAACTGGAGGGCTTCCGGGGGCTTCCTACAGAAAACAGGAAAAAGATGACAAGTATAGTGTAAATGTATGTTCTTCTTAATCCAATATAAAGCAGTAATATTATATAGGGTTATTTTAATCAAAGACGTTTGAGATATAATACATTCATAACTTAATGGCTCAAGGAAATCTCACATATTTGACGTCACTCTACTACTAAGACTACTACTACTAATGCTTTACTACAACTTACAGCAATAAGTAACATTTATTAACTCAAATGTCTTGCATTATTCTGTACAGTATATTATAAACCCTGATCATTTCTATTACATATGATTGATTGTGCCTTTTGAAATGAAATTAGTTTTTACTTTTTTGTATGCATGTAGTATATACACCGAAAAGAAGGAATTGGTCTATATAAAACGTCTCCTAATGTGCTTCCATCAATACCCTAGAAACACGGAACCAGGGCCTCAGCATCCATCTCGGCTTACGTGGGTATTTTCTGGCTCAGTAGTGTGAAACGGCTCCTGAAGTAGACCGAGCTGGATAAAGCTCCATGGATTTCCCATAGGCCGATAGACAGCTGTCTCTAACAATGAACCCTAGTAAATGGACCAGTGACATTTGCCATGTGGTCGATATGCCTGCACTGCTGGATATTGAGCCCACTGTATACACTCAGTGCATGTGTCAGTCTTGGCAGGGGGGGACACAGTTAGCGGTTAGTCTTTGGGTCTGGAACCACTGGGCCCAGCTACTGTGTCCGGTCTTCATGAGCCAATAGTCTGTCAAATGTATTTTTAGGATAGAGACAATGGAGCGACTACAGTATGAGTCAGGATGTAGAGAGGGAAACAGCCACGTGCAGAGAATTATAGAATAAAGCTTTGGTCTTGGCCTTATTTTCCATAATGCTTCATAGAAGCCTGTGGGCAGCCGGGGGAATGCACTGAAGAAGAACTCTCTGTACAAGACCTTTTACAGATTGCCCCCTCACAGCTAGATCATTTTGCGCGGTTCAACTTTGGACCTCCAGCCGGATTTAAAACCAGGAGGCTAATATTGATGTCTCACAACACTGCTGGCTCACGGCCAGGGGACTGAAAGATAGGACAACAACTGCAGCAGGAAGACAGGAGAGCAGGAGGAGGTGGTGGGGAGTTTTCAGTAAACAAATGAAAGGAATAACAAGGAAGAAAGAGGAGGGGTTGGAGCTGAAGCCCAAGTGCAGTGTAGGTGCTGCCAAGTGGCCTCCTCTCGGGGTAGCGTGCACTAGAAGACGCATAGCAGGGTAGAGGGACTTATCGGCTGTTTAATATGAATTAGAGGTTTAATGAGGTTGAGCTCGCCGGACTTTATCGGGACAACGTGTTGATAAGAGCTTGGGGCGAGGAGGGAAAGTGTGTGTGTGTGTGTGTGTGTGTGTGTGTGTGTGTGTGTGTGTGTGTGTGTGTGTGTGTGTGTGTGTGTGTGTGTGTGTGTGTGTGTGTGTGTGTGTAGTAGTAGTAGTAGGTAGGTAGGTAGGTAGGTAGGTAGGTAGGTAGGTAGGTAGGTAGGTAGGTAGGTAGGTAGGTAGGTAGGTAGGTAGGTAGGTAGGTAGGTAGGTAGGTAGGTAGGTAGGTAGGTAGGTAGGTAGGTAGGTAGAGGAGGAGGTAGGGTAGGGTAGGGTAGGTAGGTAGGTAGGTAGGTAGGTAGGTAGGTAGTAGTAGTGTGTGTGTG